AAAGCGATGGAAAAGTTCTCTTCAACAATAACAACAACAGTTATTGCGATGGTTCAGTGAAATGTTAGATTGATTCAAATGAAATTCAGAAAATGCAGAAAGATGTCATGCTATCAAAGCGTGCGATACATGCTTATTGGATTTCAAGCGCTCTCACTCAATTTATATACTGCTACAATGTTTATTTCTCTCACTCCTCTCTCTCTCTCTCTCTCTCTCCCTCTTTCTCTCTTTCCTTTTTTCTCTCTGTATACACATTAGTATAAGAAAAATAGATGATGATTAAGTAAATAAATAAGCACACAAATACACATACACACACTCACACACACACACACACACACACACACACACACACACACACACACATATATATATATATATATATATATATAATAAAAGTTATAATTGAGTCAGATGAATAAACGCATAGAAAAATAATTAACTAAATGTTATTAAAAGAATAAATAAAATTGTAAACAAATTAAAAAAAATTAATTAAATTTAAAACTGAAATTACGTCGCAAAACAGCAGCAAATATTTTCCGAATTGACCCAGTTTAATTCAGCGATGTTTAATAATTTTTTTTGAAAGAACTTACTTAAAATCAGTTTAAACAACATTAATTTTCTAATTAGACATTAAAATAATATTTAATATTTAAACTGAATCTCCATAAGAACTATGTTAGAATACAGCGCCTCCAACTCTGAGCACGATCTCGGTAGATGTCTCTGTCCGATCTGCAGAGGAACGTTCAGACGACCAAAAAAAAGGCCCTGCAATCATTATTTTTGCTTCCAGTGTTTAAAATTTTGGCTTGAAAACCACAATTCCTGTCCTCTCTGTAGACGTGAGTTGACGTTGGATCTCGTCAGCGAGACCTCTCACAGGTTCAGACCTGAACTCTACCGCATGGTTGTTCGCTGTCCATTCCACACCAGAGGTTGTACGGCAGAAATGCCACTGAGGAATTTGAAGCTTTCAAAGTGCAGAGATGTAAATTGAATAGTTGTAGACAGCTTCTTAAAGGAGTAGGACAATGATATTGTAGACTAGGCGAAGAAATTTTATAGTAAAGAACGTGTTGAAGAGTTCCTTCTAAGACCTCATCTAAATGCGCTGAAAAACTGGAACTTCTGAAGAATTATCATTGAACTCAATGAAAGTATGTCATCAATAAGAAAACAATTTATCATGTGATTGATCTTGCAATTTATCATGTAAATTAATTGCCCGAAGGATCTATGTCTGATTCTGAAAGGATTGACTTCTTGGTCACATTCATGTTTTATCAGGGTTCTAAAATAATAAATATAGTCCGAAAAGTGGAAAACCAAGTGGAAAAATTCCTAATAGGTGCGTGACGCTAAAATGCAGCTGTTGAAAGAATGAAAATATTAATAACGCTATATTTTCAGTTCCAGAAACAGAAGAAAAGGACGAAAGAAAGAAAGGGCTAATTAAAAAATATTACTAACTACACGGACATTCCTTGGCAGCTACATACAAGAAAATGACTTGGATGATTTATTTGAACTAATGGATAAATTTTAAATTTCATAATTTATGAATTTGTAAATCAGTAAATTCATTTTGAACAAAAAATAATTGAAAAATAAAAATTTGTTTAACCAAACTGAATGTTTCATAGAAACAACAAAACAATGAAACATGCAAACAAACAAAATTTAGATTTTTTATAATTTTTTGAAGCCTTTCAATTCAGCTACAAGAAAACAAGTGTCTAAAATTTGAATAAGAACTTTGTATGTTAGAAATTGTGTTCATCCCTGACACAACAGTGATCAGTAATAAAAATTTCAAGCTTTCAAATTAATTTTTTAAATGAAACAATTTTTCAAACCACAAACAATTTTTTGCAGGGTTATGTATTATCCTAGTTTACAATTGTTTTTTCAATTCAGTATCAGAACCAAATTTTGTTCATTTAACAAAATTAATTTCATCAGAAAGAAAGTCAGACTTTCCTGCTGCCCAACCTGACCGCCTTCAGATTTCTCTCTACCCCCATTGAGTTGTTGTCTCCTTACAGTTGTTATCTTCAACGTTAAGCTTTAGTAGTGTTAACATTTCAGTGATTGAGAAGTCAAGTCATCACCTCGCTCAGTTCAACATCAATAAGTTTCGTGTCATCACAGGAATTCTTTGTCATATTTTATTACTTCCAACTTTAATTAGTTTTATATATATATATATATATATATATATATATATATATATATATATATATATATATATATATATATATGTTGGTAATAGACCATAATTTTTACAATATTCTATAAATTCTACCGAATGTTTGGCGTTAATATGTTTGTAGTTCGTTTTTTCGATTTTTCTCACTAAAGTTTTTTGGTGAACGTTTAGTTTATTAAAATTCAAAATAAACTTATTTTTCGAATACATGCTGCAAATAAGGCCATATTTCGATTCGAATGAATCATCATCAGTGCTCCTTGTTGTATATATAGGGAAATATTGACTTTGTCAAGATGAACTTTGACGTTAATTTTTACAACGGTCGGCGTAATCATCGTGCCAAAAAGCACAACATCATTAAAAATAACAACATCATTAAAAATAACAACATCATTATAAATAACAACATCATGCAGTGCAGTGAAGAGCAGAACCAACCAGCCAACCAACGACAACAAATATTTCAAACGTAGGTGAATTTAAAACAAGCTGGCAAATGGCGATTAAGTAAAAATTTAATTGATTAAAGTTTGAACAATCTGAGATATGTCGCTAATATTTGCGATAACAAAAAACTTCAAAAAGAAGATATATGAATTTTCATTCACTATGCGTTTTTTCGTTGATCAGATATATAAGCCTCCCACCCACACCGTTATGTTTGAATCAACCGCACACACACGTCGAGAAATCTCTGCGTTTGAACCACGTCAATGCGATGAATACATTTTTAAAAGCCAAGCCACTTCGTCTCCTAACTGCAAACTTAATAAACTACAAACGATTGAAATAAACTTTGGTGTACTGCCTATCTGCCTTTTCTAAAATATTTAATATTGACCGGAGAAATTTAGACTTTTCTATTTGAGATTTGATTCTACAAGTGAATGATCACAAAAAAAAATTTTAGTGTTTGAAACATAAATGCACTTTTAAGCGTTGATGATATCATAAAAGTAAAAATGAACTATTAAACGTGTGCATATGCGTTTATTTATTTACTTCCTTATGCATTCTTTCACTCATTCATTCATCCACTTTTTCATTTATTCATTCTTTCTTATATTTAAATGTAGACAAAGAGAGAGAGAGAAAGGAGAGAGAGAGAGTGAGAGGGAAAAAACGCTAATACCAACATAAATTGGATGAGAGGGCTTGAAAATCCAATAAACATGTTACGCTGCATGTAGGCATGTGTCGTACGTTTTGGTAGGATGACTGGGACATCTTTCTACAATCTACGCGGCCTGAATTTTTCACTATTTCAATATTTTACTAAAACCATCACAACATCCATAGTTCACCATCGCTACTGTTGTCAATCAACTGCGAGGCTAATTTGGAAGAAGATTCATTAAAGGGAAGTGTGCTAGCGCATCGGACGCACAGAAATTTTTGAAATGATTCCATTAACTTAAAAGTGCTGGTCATTTAAAATATATTAATGGAAGAGCATCTCACTGGCAGCACACACGAAGGACTGTTTTTACGGGAGGAGACGATGGAGTAAGGACGGTCACGTTGTTCGTTGTGATCGATAATAAGCTGGAGTCGTTCCGTTGGCTTGATCTTTCCGGTCGACAATGAAACTTCAGCGGCAAAATCTTAGATCGTTACTGGGTAATCCAAAAAAAATTATAAAAAACGGTTAAATTTACTGGTATTTTTTTGCTAAAACATGAAGATTTTATGAAAGTGATGTTCTATATCTTCTAATAATCTTTTTAATGACTCATTTATAAATAATTTCGAGGTGTTGAGGTAGGTTCAACACGTTGCACCATAGTTTTTGCATCCGTAATCTAAAATTTATCCGAGTGTTCTATAAATTATATATAGAATTTTTTCATCTAAGCCCCAGCAACATGAAATAGTTTGTCCTATCAAAATGCAGAGATATTGATTGAATGGTTGTAGGTAGCTTCTTGAAGATGATATTGTAGACCACGCAAAGAAATTTTGTTGTAAAGAATGTGTTAAAAAGTACACCCTAAAACCTCAAGTAAATGCGCCGAAAAACGTAAACAACTGGGAAAATATAAATGAACTCAGTGAAATTATGTCATCATTAAAAAACAATTTATCTTGTGATTGAACATTTGTTAATTAATTGTCCAAAGGATCTATGTCTGATTCTGAAAAGAACGATTTTTTGGCCACATTCACGTTTCAACTAGGTTCAAAAATAAGAAAAATAGGCCGAAAAGTAGAGAACAAAGGTGCAAAATTCGTAACTGGTACTTAACATTAAAAAGCAGCTAATGAACGAATGAAGATATTAATAACGTTACATTTACAGTTCTAGAAACAGAAGAAGAAAAGAAAGAAAAATAGTGCCGGCTAAAAGAATTGCGCAAACTTAATCCCACCCCCTTGATCTGCCACTGAGCAACCGCAGGTGTGGTGTGTGGTGTAAGTACTAAAACGTTTGCTGTGTCAGTTGGTGAATAACTCACAAAAATGAAAAAATACATTATTTAATATGTTTGGCTGATGGACGCAATGCGTTAAAAAGTTTGCAAAGTGATTAAGATGTTGTTTTAAAATGCAGACCGATATTTTCCAATGAAATTACATCACACAACACCATAAACAACTGAACACAACCCCAGATCAAAACAAACAACTACACACAGTCACAAAAGACCAAACACACCTACATGAAGTTACATACAACTACACACAGCCACACACAACCACACACACCACCGCTAACCTTTCCATCAAATTGCAGCACCTTCTGTCCATACTTGCCGCTAGAGAGGTGCTCGCTGACGGAGGACGTTGGTGATGTCGCACCGTTGCTGCTGCTGCTTACTTCACGCGATATGAAAACGTCGAAGACACCGGTTTCGATGACGTAGAAGTTGTCGCCATCGTCTCCCTGCTTGATCACGTGCTCTCCCGGCTGCACTTTGCGTTCGAACATGGCGTCGATCACTTCCTTCATCAGGTCTGTGTCCAGAGATCTGCATTGTGGTGGTGATTATGATGATGGTGATGACTGGTGGTGATAATAATGATGGTGGAAAAGTTGATGATGATGATGGTGATGATGATGACGATAATAGAGAAATGTCGGATGATGATTCTATTCATGCTTATGAATATTAAAAAAAAAATTCTAAAGACGATGATGTCCATAATAATGAAGAGAAGAACATTGTGGATCGGAGAATAATGGCTAAGGAGTGATTAACATCGTAATCGCATATATGTATGTATGTATATATATATATATATATATATATATATATATATATATAAATTGGTTATAAAACAAAAATATAACCTACCCACTGTTTTATATACAAAAATGGATTTAATACATGGCGAGTTTCAAATAAAAAATGATATGAAGTTTATGACATGCACAATATGAGATAAGGAAAGCTACGATTAAATTAATACTTTTCAAGTTTTACAGAATAATTTCCATGATTTCAATTGTATAATTTCATTATGAATACCAAAGGAACATGATAGTGAAACAAATTAATCGGTTATGAAGACATAACACTGACATGTTTAGGTGAGATTGATTAATAAATACCTGGTCGTCGAAATAACTGGATAAACACTCAGAAACACTGAGAACAATTTCACGCATAGACAACAACGCAGCAACAATTATCGCGCAAATAAACAATAGAAGCAGTAAAGACAACAACAGTAACAACAATAACAACAACCGCGGCAGCGGCAACAACAATCGCGGCAACAACAGCAAAAACAATAACAACAACAGCAGCAGCAACATCAACAACAACCACACAGCCAAACAACAACTTTGCAAACAAACAAACTAACCACAACACAACCTCAGTACAAAAACAATGATCATTTCTTCACACGTTAATGGATTATGATGGTGATGATGAATACATCAACGATAATGATGTTAAGAAGTTGGTGATGGCAACGTAAATGGGTAGAATAATACTTTAAAAAAAATCATCACTCTTTCAGTTGCATTTTATTTAATTTACAATACTTTTTTGACTAAACCTTTACAAACATAAAAAATGTCTCCGGCACTTTTTTTCACTCTCAGTCCGCAAACTAAAGCCCACCCAATTCAACTGCCACTCAATGACATCCGCATGTAAAGAGTCACTTTGTCCACGTTGGATGTTTCTCTGAACATGACATGTATACAGCGCAAACTTCAAAACTACTACACACACACATACACACACACACACACACACACACACACACACACACACACACACACACACACACACACATGATACTGAGCATGTTTTTGACTGCTGGTGCACATGGGCAGGTACATAATGAACGAACTGGTAATGAAACACACCACTCACAGAACTTTCATAGCCCATAGCCCATTGTTAAAATTGTCGGATTTGTTCTTTGTTAGTGAGATTTTGGAATTGAAATCAAAGTTTTATTTAATTTTAATTAATTTCAATATTCCAGTATAAGGAATAAATATTTTTAAAAAGCAAAGACATAATTATTTATTCTTGGTTGGAATTATTTTCTTAATTCATGGTGTCGGGTTCTACAAATTGTTTCAAACGTTCCTTTACGTTATAAATAAGTGAGTCCAACTTTAACACATAAAAATTATGCCACCATGTTCAAGTTTTGTTAATTCTTTTTTACGTATCTATCTTACTTTGAAAATCTCGAAAAAAATCTATACAAATTACTACGGTTATAAATATGTATAAATATACATAGCATTCGTTTATTTGCTTAGTTATTTAAATATGTATGGTTGAAATGAAAAGTTGACGGCGCGTATTTGACACAGTGCCTTGGATATGAAAGAATCATAGTTACAAATTTTTTAATTTCCACAGGTGTTAGCATGATCAGATATTTTTAATAATATTCTGACAAACATTAGTATCCGTATTATTTATATATATATATATATTATATAATATACATATTGTGTTGTATTTCGTGTGTTTTTTGTGATATGTGGTGTTGGTGGTATATTCAATGAATTTCATGTAATATATGGTGTTGGTTGATGTTGTACTCCAGGTATTTCATCTGACTTTTCACTTTTTAATCATACACAATTGTTACTTCCATAATTACCATAGTCGATTTCTTACCCTAATCATAATTGTAATTATCAACATCATCATCCTCATTATTGTCATTAAAATTATGATCATCGTCATCACTGTCACGTGACGATTGTCACCAGACGCGTTGAGGCACCAAAACATTCAATGCCTTCGCTTCACCAACGCCTGTATACATCAAACAGAAAATAATTCTAACCACTTGGAAAATATACAAACCATATATATAACATAAATACAAATCATACATAAAAATTATTATACAAATTACACATACAATTTAAAAACTTAATTATACATAAAAAATATAATACAAATTATAGTTACAATTTAAAATCTAAATTACATAAAAATTACGATACAAATTATACATATAAATTACACATATAATTCAAATTATGATACAAATTAAACATAAAATATTTGAATGGGACTAACTCGTCATAACAACAACAGCAGTAGCAGTGCAATAAAATATTCACCGGCGATAAATAAGAGCAATTGAGTTAATAATAAGTGCACATGCTGACCTGAAGATAATGACCCTTTCACAATTACAGCCCCTACCCACCACAATGGACCAACTCACTACGGCTCCATAAACATTCCTTAACCTTTGACCTTACTCATTTTTCATCCACTTTTCTTCATCTCACCACAACTTCATCACGTCATCATAATTCGCACATGAAGTTTTTATGACTATTGCAAAAAATTTAAACCAAAATTCAGATTACGGAGAGCCTGGTTTTATTCTTAGTTAGTGTTGATCAATTTGCGATGAATATTTTTTCAAATTTTTTTTCTTCAAGTAAAAATTTTTTTAAAGCATGTTTTGGATAGAGGATATGATTTTTTAAATATTTTTTGACTTACACTTTTTTCATCAGTAAATTATTTTTATTTGTAGTTTTTCAGAAGTTTCTGATGCAGAACACTGAACAATAGACCTGAACTGCAATCCTCACATTACGAAGTGAACTGGATAAGAAAACACAGGCAAAAGATTTTGCTAATCGGATCTTAAGAAGATGCATTATGTTAAACTGCTTATGCACGGCACGTTTTACAAGGTTTAAATCAATCCTTGAAAAAGATTTTAAAAGTTTGATTTTAAGTTATCTGTCCTATTATCTGTACAATGTTTCTTCTGTTTTTTTTTAATTTGTTTACAAAATTTAAAATGATAATAGAAATTTAATTAAAATATGTTAAATTTGATTTGATTTTAAGTTTTTAACTTGGTTATATAGCTACAATCTCTCTCTTTTTTTCTCTTTCTCTCTTTCTCTCTCTCTCTCTCTCTCTCTCTCTCTCTCTATCTATCTATCTATCTCTCTATTTCTCTCCCTCTCTCTCTCTCTTCCCCTCTTTCTATCATCTTTTTCTTTATTTTTTTCTCTTTTTTATTTTTGTCAGCAATTTTTATTATTTATTGCAATATTAAAAGCGAAAATAGAGGAGCATATTTTGAGCAGACTCGTCGTAAACGAATGTTGATGGTTCGTAATGGCACCCGAGACCACGATAGCACGCTGATGTACGTCATTCTAATTGCTAATGTCATCAACACATTACTGCATTCTCGTCAGCATCATGTTATGTCATCATCAACTTTATCATTTTCATGAATAATTTAATTATTTTCATCAGCAATCTAATCCTTATCATCGTTGATACAATTATCATCATTAAACTAATTATTATCAACAATAACCTAATTATCATCATCATCATCATCCTCATCATCATCATCATATTCTAATTTATTCATCTTTATGTCGTCATCGCTACCACATTATTACCAATTTCAGTTTAAACTTTCATTATCAGTAATATCGACAGAGATATTGCCAAAATCATAGTCAAAATTATCAATTTCTCTTTCTATCATTGATAGCAGGTGATGATGCAACTTACCCGCAAAAGTATCATCGCGGACGAAAATGTCATCATTAACCCTGTTACCATCAGCGCTGTTAGTCATCATCACATCAACACATCAACATCATTGTTGTTGCTGTTGTTATAAAAATCATCATCTCATCATCTTCATTATCCACATAAAGTACATTGTAACATTTTTTATGTAGTTACTGTCGTCATCTTAACTCGTCACTTTCAATTCTTCTAATTCTAAAACTCCTATTTCTTAATAACTGTTAAAGTAGTTAGTCCATCTAGTATCATTATTATTAGCATACAATCCTATAGTTATATATGTAGAAATTTTTGTCAAGACACAAGCACAATATCATTGACCACATGGATACATGAACAGTAGACACGTAGGCCTATGGATCTTATTTTACCATATAATTGTATCATTCTGGTAATCATCGTCACATTAATAATCTATAATGTCGTCATCATTTTAATCATATCATCATTCTCGTATTGATCTTGATGGCTGAATGAATGCGTGGATGTTTTAGAAGCTACAATCTACAACATGAACAACAACAACAACAACATGAACATGAACATCAACACCAACAACAACATCAACAACAACATCAACACCAACATCAACAACAACATGAATGACAACATCAACACCAACAACAACATAAACAACAACAACAACATCAACACCAACATCAGCAACAACAACAACAGACATTAAAATTTCGACATTGTAAAAATTTTATATCACCTTTCACCAACCAGTCCAAATATTGTTAATGTATCAATCCTTATCATTACGACCATGAAAATAATAATGATGACTATGACGATTATTATAGCGAAATGGTTAGAAATGATGATGATGACGACGACGACGATGATGATAATTGGCATTTTTTAAACTTAAAGTTTTGGCTGGTAAGTGGGTGACAGATGAATATGCAAACCAGCAAACGGAAGTGGGTTGATGGAGATGGAATGATGGAGAT